GTTTCTCACTGTTAGAGTGAGAATTGCAGACGAGGAGGAGGCTGGCTGGGATTGTTCACACGGCAGCAGCTCAGTGTTAGAGAAATCAGTGTGTAATCAGCTGTAGCTACCTACAGATACAGATGGGCACACACAAAATGTCCAGATAGTTCATGAAGACACATGTATTTCCTTATTCTGTCAGCTGAGGGGGCCTGAAAAAAATCCTATTACAGTAACAAAGAACACACTTCATCTCTAGATTCTTTGTATGTTCATTTTTACTGTATGTGTGTGGGAGTCTGGCCTGCATGTATCGCTCAGCACCACACGCATGCAGTGCCCGCAGAGTCCAGAAGGGGGCGTCAGAGCCCCTGGAACTGGAGTTACAGATGGCCATGAGTTGCAACGTGTGTGCTACGAATTGAACCTGAGTCCTCGGCAAAAGTAACCAGTGTTCTTAACAGCTGAGCCATCCCTCCAGCCCCTTACGTCAGATTTTAGTTTACAGCCCCCAACCTTAACACCACTTCATATACCATGGCTGACCCGAGGACAGGCAGACAATAAACAGGTTGAGCGTGGTACACTGGAGTGTCCCAGGAAGAGACTGCTTAGAAAAACAAGCAATATCACGTGTCAGGGGGCACAACAGCCATTAGAGTTTTCAGCAGCCAGAGACAGAGAGACTTGAGCAGTAATATGGTATACAGTCTAAGAAACTCGGAATTAACATGCACTTCACACAGAGCTAGAGAGCTAGATACAGATGTGTCTGACTAAATGAATGGAAGAAAACAGAAAAATGTCCACCCTGCAACAGCATTTCAAATAATTTGTAGACATTCCACCCTGATAGGTGGAAAATAATTCCCCACTCTTTAAGTGTGGCGGGGCCTGATGACTTCCTTCCTGAGAGTGGGAGGAGTCTCGTAGTGGGGAGGGACCACAGACCTGAGAGTGGGAGGAGTCTCGTAGTGGGGAGGGACCACAGACCTGAGAGTGGGAGGAGTCTCGTAGTGGGGCGGGACCACAGACCTGAGAGTGGGAGGAGTCTCGTAGTGGGGCGGGACCACAGACCTGAGAGTGGGAGGAGTCTCGTAGTGGGGGAGGGACCACAGACCTGAGAGTGGGAGGAGTCTCGTAGTGGGGAGGGACCACAGACCTGAGAGTGGGAGGAGTCTCGTAGTGGGGCGGGACCACAGACACCATCACAGTCAGGTGGTGGAGAGAGGTGTCACGATGATAGGTACTCATAGAGAGTGCTGAAGACTGCACTTCTTCACTTCTGTGGTTTTTATTGCCTAATTGTATAGAAACAAACAAACAAAACAACAACAACAATAACAAAAACAAACTCCATTTAACAGCAGTTCTCAAAATGGCCATACGCTTCAAAAATAAAAGTCTGGGCCAGGTGGTAGTGGCGCACACCTTTCTTTAATCCCAGCACTCCGGAGGCAGAGGCAGGCGGATCTCTGTGAGTTGGAGGCCAGCCTGGTCTACAGAGCAAGATCCGGGACAGGCACCAAAACTACACAGGGAAACCCTGTCTCAAAAAACAAAAGAAAAAAAAAAAAAGGCTGAGAAATTGTCAAGGCCAAGAGGAAACAGTCAGACGTGAAAACTAAACGTAGGATACTATACCGAGAGAGACATTTATGTAAAAAACTGGAGAAGTCTGAATGGACTATAGACTTCAGTTCATCTGCATGTGATCAATGGTGACAAATATACTAGTTCAGGGAAACTGGGTGTGAGGTACAGGGAGAGTCCCTGGACCATTTGTCAGTTTTTCTGGAAAATTAAAGTAAGTAGGTAAATAAAGGTAATTCCTTTCCACTCTTTCTCCTGTTCCCTGTCATTTCTTCTTCTTCCCTCCTCTTCTCACCCTGTACTTCCTTCTTTCTTTCAGAAACACCATCATACAAATGGCTATACCTTGTCATTTTCTACCTGTCTCCCTGTGCATTATTCTGAAGCCCGGTGATATATGCACTACACTCCAATTCACAGATAGGCAGATATCCCCATCCTCTGTTGACCTTGATGCTTGCAAAGATCCTTAGTAGAACTGCCCACTCCTGCTAGCTTGGGCCCATTGGCACCCATCAGCCCTGTTTGAGATGGCCTTGTGAACAGTCAGGATCTCACGCTCCGTGCATTCAGCTATGCCTTAGGGAGCTCAGTAAACTCCAAAGGGAACCGTCCATTCTGCAGGGGAGGCACGTGCATGCAGGTTGCTGTCTGTGTCTGTTACCCGCTCTCTGGCCCGCAGACTAGTCCCCGTGCATGCACCACAGCACCCAAGTGTGGGCAGAAGCACTCCCGTCGAGTGGGATGAAGCTTTGAAGAGGCTGAGACCGATGAGAGCCGAGGAACCTTTGAATCTCCCTTCAGCTCCCCTACCCCGACCACAGCCCTCCTCTTGATGTAGAACATGTGTTCGACTTGAAAACAATGAGGCTGGCTTCTGTGCCAGGAAGACTTGCTGCTTTAAGCTTCTTCGGGGGTTGAAAACAGATCTATCTCTGAGAGCTGTGCAGCACTCCATGGAAGTCACCATGGCTGCTGCGGATTTGTGAGACAGGGCAGGAAGCAAGGTCCCTGCTACTCCACCTGCTGTGGGGTGGAGCACACAGCTCACTGCCGGGGATATCTGTGGAGCAGATGGAAAGGAGATGTCTGGACTCTCTTGAAAGCATGGGAATGTAAAACTGAAATGTTCAGGAACCAACTGAAGGAAACTTCCAGAATCCGGCACAACCCACGGAGAGCTGGACCCTCCGCCATCAATCATCAATCAAGAAAATGCCCCACAGGTTTGCTGACAAGTTGATACTATGGAGGCATTTTCGAATTTGAGGTCCCCTCCTATCAGATGACTCTAACCTGTCTAAACTTGATAAAAATGTAGCCAGCAACCACCCCTATCCTTCCTTATCATCTAATACTACCCTCTCTTGGCCTCCTAGATTTTAGACTACCCACACTTATACCTGTTTCCATATATACAGGTATACATTATAGACTAGGGCCTACATATAAGGGAGAACATGTATTTTTTTGTATTTTTGACTTTGGGTTACCTTAGTGTTATATATTCAAGATACATCCGTTTTCCTATATATATAACTGCTGAATAATGTGGATATATACCACACTAAAAGGATGCGTTCATTCATTGATGGGTGCCTAGGCTGGGTCCATCTCCTTGCTGTTGTGAATCTAGCAACAAAAGCCATGGACAAGCTAGTGTCTCCATTGAGGAAAAAAAATATTTCCCAAATTGATACATTAAGTAATGCTTAGTGAGGGAAAATAACTCTGGACTTGTGTAGACAGTAAAGAGTTTGGGGTAGAGGCAAGGAAGAAAGAGAGGGTGTTTAGAACTACAGAGCAAGAGGTAGATTTCTGATACCAAGAAGAGAAAGAGTGGCATTCCACATCAGGTGAGCTGAAGTCCCAGGATCCCCTGCATCTGGAAAGACTGCCTGAGTTCGAAGGCTGGTGGTGTATTATGTAAGATTTCCCCAAGCCAAGAGGATGGTATTGTCACTGGGCTCTGAAGAACAGAAATGGAGTCCCACACCGCCCTGGGGAAGTTGAGGGCTGACCAACACTGCACAGGGTGCTGGTGTGGGTGGGCACTGCACAGGGCACTGGTGTGGGTGGGTGGGGAAGCACTCCCACCATGTGGGAGAAGTTTCACGTTATGAGCATGTGTGCTGCTGGGGTTGGGGACCCCACACAAGCCTGCCTATGGATGCATCCTGCAGCCTCATTCCCACATAGGGGAGCTTCTGCTTCAAGCTCTTGACTGCGGTTTGTCCTGTAGTCCTGTGAATACGTTTTTCAGATTTCTCTAGAAAAGCCATCGGGATAAAAGGGAAGTTACCAAGCAGCCAGGTCTTAAGTTGCTGAGGACAAAGGTATTCCTCTGCACCACAATTCACATGGGATCCATCTATGTCCTAAAGAGGAAGTGCATACTGCTGTCATGTCTGAGACATTTCAGAGGAATTCTGTTGAGAAACAAATAGGGATGAGATGTAAAAGAGAAAGAGCAGACTGTCTCTCCTTCACTCCCAAGGGAGCAGAAACCCTTCATGGTGACAGAGTAAATGTCTTCAGAGCTTGGTGGGGACTGGATGTTGGCTCCGGATGAGCATTTAGTACAGACTGAAACCCTTTCCTGCCTAGTCTCTTAGCATCTTGGTGTGCAGGGCTTGCCATAAAGACAGCCACAAACCAGGGCTCACAGGATAGAAACATATGTCGAAGTTCAAAACTGGTATGGGCTGAGGGAGTGGATTTGTTCACACCACTAATGCCGCTGGCAACTGTTAGCTTTCTTGGCTCATCACAGCTACACCCGGTCTCCATCTATCATTATTGTTATGTAGTATGCACCCCGAGTATATGCCTTGGTGTCCAAGTTTCCTTTGAATAAGAACCGTAGTGATTTTGGATTCCAGCTCACTCTAGTGACTCCATCTTAACTAATTATATCCATAGCATCCCAATTTCCACATATGGGTATGTTCTCAAGTGCTAGAGATTGGGTTTGAGTGCATAGGTTTTGGTAGATGTTACAGTTTTTGTCCACTTGACACAAACCTAGACGTATCTGGGAAGAAGGAACATCCGACAAGGGGCTGCCTCCTGCAGATTTGCCTGGGTGTGTCTGTGGGGATTGTCTTGATTGATGATTGACATCAGAGGGCCCAGTCCACTGTGGGCAGAACTATGCCTGGGCAGATGGTCCTGGGCTATTCAAGGTATCTGAGCAAGCCAGTAAGCGGCATCCCCCCCCCCCGCTCCCCCCCCCCCCCCCAAGCCTCTGTTTCAGTTGCTCTCTCCCGGTTCCTGCCTCGCCTTCCCTTGATGGTGGACTATGGCCTGTAAGCCAAACAAACCCTTTTCTCTCCCGGTTGGCTGTCAGCATTTTATCATGGCAACAGCCAGCGAAGTTGAATAGCAGGAGACACAGTTCTCATGCTGACCTTTGCTCTACACAGGTTTCAGGATCCATAGCATCGCAGGCCGAAGAAGGGTTGAAATGCATGGGCTCTCTCACTGAGTCAGCCTTGGAGATGCTCTGAACACTGTCCCCACACTTCAAACGCAGGCTGAGCTCACACCATGGCAGAGCTCAGTGAGAACTAAGGATACTGAATGCCCACTCCACTGCTGAGGTCCAGGCTAAGGTAAGATGCTTTACTGTGTTTTTAATTTAAAATTTGTATTCTTATGTGTGTGGGTATTTTGTCTGTGTACCACATGCATCCCTGGTGCCTGGAGAGACCAGGAGATGCCACTGGATCCTCTGGAACTGGAGTTACAGATGGTTGTGAGGAGCCACGTGGGTGCTGGGAATTGAACCTGAGTCTTCTGTAACTGCAGCTGGTGCTCTTAACTGCTAAGTTATTCCTCCAGCCCCTGGGACAGCACACACACACACACACACACACACACACACACACACACACACACACACAAGACAGGGTTTCTCTGTGTCCTGGCTGTCCTGGAACTCACTTTCTAGGCCAGGCCTGCCTCAAACTCAGAAATCCACCTGCCTCTGCCTCCTGAGTGCAGGGATTAAAGGCGTACAACAACACCACCAGGCTAAGGGCAACATTATTTTTTTAATTAATTTATTTTTATTTTATTGGTGTTTTGCCTGTATGTATGTGTGAGGGTGTTGGATCCTAGAGTTACAGACAGTTGGGAGCTGCCATATGGGTGCTGGGAATTGAACCTGGGTCATCTGGAAGAACAGTCAGTGTTCTTAACTGCTGAGCCATCTCTCCAGTCCCTAAAGGCAACATTCTTAGGAGAGCAGTTGGCACCAGCTGATGAAGGCTGGCGACTGTGATGTACACCCAGGTAGGAGGACCTTGTGCCACCCAGCCTGACCTGGCATGTGCTGTCCAGAGCCTAGGCAATGTTCTCTGAGGCAAAGGGAAGCCTAATTGGGCATCTTCCACTGTACAATGAGAACTATAGTCTTCCTGTCTGGCCCACCTAGGGTCAGGAGAAACTCAAATAGAATAAGATAGAACGGCTTTGAAAAGACCCCACACCACAGCAATATGGGGCCTTATTCTCAGGCCATCATGCCGCCCTCCCTGGGAAGCACTGGTGGGCCTCTCCTCTCCACGTTGCATCCTGAGTGTCTGCTGAAAAGTCTGACCTCTACTGTTTAAAACACACCTGACCATCTCATGGCTGGCTTTACATGCAGGGGTCACTCGGCCAATTTGATTTTCCCAGCCAGCCTGCCCAGCTGCTCACAGGAGCAGCCAACATCTACCTGGAGGTTTTTTTTGAGGTTTTTTTTTTTTTTAATCCCAGCAGCCCTGCTTGGCGCCAGTTAGTGAACTTGTAGAATCCAGCTTCTGGGACTGGGTTCTAGCCAGGTGAACCAGCCGGAGGGAGCTGGGGAGGATTCCAGGCACGCACCTGTGACTCAGGTTTCCCCCTTACAGCCTCTCTTTCCTGGCTGGGGCTTTCCAAGTACCTCCATTCTGCAAGATTGACAGCTCACTTTTGGTTGGAATCAGAGCGTAGGAAGCGGTCTTTTCGAACTTCCTGCGCAACTCAGCCTGCCAAAAATCCTGCCACCGGTTGCCTTATTTACCCTGGCCACCAGGCCTCTCTCTGCACCCTAAGAAAACAGATTGCTGTCCGGAGAAAAGTCCATGCATGTTTCCTTTCTGGAGGCTGATCAAGTTCTGAAGAAAGGCTTCCTGCAGCCCATTACACCATTTTGGTTTGTTTTATCTGTCTCCACCTGCAGAGCAGGGAATTAGCCTGCAGCCCAGGGCCAGGCCAGCAGATGACTACAGAGAAAGCGAAGCTGGTGGGGGTGAGCTTTCCACAACACACCGTGGCCTTGTTCTCTTTAGCCGGGCATTGTGTGCTGAGGCCCAAGCCCAAATCTGAATAGGATTCTGTGTAACTTGATCTGTTTTCTTTCTTTCCTGTATTCCTGTGAGCCAAATTTAACTTCGCTCCAATCTGTGGCCTGTACATAGAATGTTCTGCGCGAGGGTGGGGGTGGACGGGGCGGCGGGTTGGGGGGTGGGAGGATGGTGTATGTCCTTGCGGTTTTCTTTTTCCTATCTTCCCCCTTTTACGTTTTTTTCTTTTGCTCGTCTGCATTGCTCACCCACCGATCACCCTTTGCCATGTATAACTCAATATGACTGTCTTGTCTGCAGCTGTTAACCCTTTAGAGCCGTAAACCCTTTCGTGTGTCTCATAAGCAAATCACAAAGTTCCCCCACCCCCACACCCAGTGCCCTGTTGGCGCTGTTGGAGTTAACAGCTGGCCAGGGGGAAAATGTGAACTTCCCTAGAAGGGCTCGTGCAGCAATTAGTAGGGCCCCACTCAGATACGTAAAAATAGCCCCTTGCTTGCAAACAGGCAGTCAAGGAACTCGGATCCCAGGAGTCACCGGACCCGTAGTGGGTGCCTCCTCTTCAAAAGGATTGTGTCCTAAACATCCCAGAAATACCACCAAAATCGAGGTGGGGAGGTTTTCAGGGCAGACAGAAATCCGGTGTCCTGTTAAAAGCTCCTCCAGCTGTGGCTAGCTCAGGCCTAGGCAGAGGCCCAAACCCTCAGGGTTCATAGACACGTCCTGCTGTCAACCTGTGTGCATGGAGGGGCGGGGAGGGGAGTGGCGGGTGGCGGCTGATCCTTTCAACAGCACCCCTGTTCAAGTTCTTCTTTCAATGAAGGGTTGAATATTGGTCCTCAGGTTGTTGTGTCTGGGGGATCATCGGACAGGCAGTGACAGCCATAATGGTCTCATTGTTCATGGCTTTCAGAAATCACAAAAATTCTGGGAAAACAACAACAGAACCATGGGACTCCTTGGGAGGGGAAGATGTCTTGGGTCATCGTGGGCTATTTTTAGAATGGAAAATGTGCTGCCTCAGAGAAAACTAGTCATGTGCCCCAGCCCAAGTAGGGCACAGTGAACCCTGCCCCATGAGTCCTGCTGTCCATTTTTACCCAGCCTTGGCATGCCTTCTTCTCCAGGAAGCCCTCCCAGCCAGGGGGAAGGGCACATAGGCAAGACTCAGCTTCCCTAGATATCACCACCACCTTCCCACATGGGTGAGGACTGAGGTGGCACGATGTCCAGGAGCCACACTGTCTCAAAAGTGCACACTTGACCTCTTCTGGGGCCCCGCTACCTGCCATCCCAATGTCTGGGGAGGGGTCTTGGCTTGAGGTCAGTGTTCCAATGTGGCTCACCTGCTTCATTTTGGGGATACAGTGGATTTCCCTGTGGGGGTCCTCTGTCAGTTTCCCTTTGGAATCTGGAATCACCATGCTATTTTCAAGATACTGGATGTTCATTATGTACTGCTCCTCAGTGGAGTTGCACCTATTTTCCCAGAAAGAGTAATACCAACCTATCCTGCCTGGGTACCTGTTGTGAGCCAGGGGCCTCCATGGTTTATCCACTGACCTTGACACAGTGTGGAAGATAGGGGTGGGACAAGGGAGTGGTCCACCGACCCGGTGTCTAAAGGTATAACCAGGAACACATGAGCTTGGACATCATGTAGTCAAACCTGGTCTTTGGGAAGTGCGCGCCAACTACATCCCTTTCCAGCTCGGGACCCAATGGTGACTTCTTTTCTTTTCTTTTTTCTTTCTTTCTTTCTTTTTTAATACGGTGTGGCGTGTGTGTGTGTGTGTGTGTGTGTGTGTGTGTGTGTGTGTGTGTGTACCTGTGTATGTGGAAGGCAGAGGACAACTTCAGGGATCATTCCTTAGACACTAATCATCTTGTGTTTTTGTTGTTTTGTTTTGTTTTGAGACAAGGTCTCTTATTGACCAAGTAGGCCAGGCTGGCCGGCCAGTGAGCCCTGGGACCCATCTGTCTTTCCCTCCCCGTGCTGAGGTTACAAGCAAGCATCATTTGAGCCAGCCTTTTTATACTCTGTGTTCTGAGAACTGAACTTACTTTATGTTCTGAGTTATCACTCCAGCCCTCCTATCTGTCTTAAAACCCAAACCTACCTCTTCCCTGTGTACGGCAAGCATCTTCCCAAGGTCCCAGCTGTGCTCACTACCTTACACTGGCCTTGTCCAGCCTCAGCAGCTGGGGCCTGGGCTCAGACTGCATTCTGCTCTCTTCCTTGGAGGAAGTGGAGGCGGCACTCTGCTAGCCCGTGGCTAACTCGGTAGCCTGCCCCTAGGCCACCCCAACCCCACTCAGGACAGAAGCAATTGCCTCAGCTCCCACGCTCTGGCGCTGACACTCTGCATCCCAAGATGTTCCTTCAGAACATGTGGCAGGCCTCACTTAGCACCCTGTATATACTCTCTGCCCCAGGCGTAAAGCTGGTTCTTGTGGGCTCCCAAGACCCAGGCAGCTACTTCCTCCTTGGACAGAAGCCGGTGTCTTCCCCAGAGGTCCTGGTCACAGTTCAGTGCTCTGTGGCTGGGGCAAAGTGTCCACTCTTTCACAGAACTTTGGGCCTGCTCTGACACAGCATGACTTAGAGGCTTGTCCAGAGAGGGTGTGGGACAGTCACCTGCTGTAGAAGTCCATTCCTGAAGCCATGTGTCAACAGGCTTGGAGCACTTTGGTGTTCCTATTCTGTTAACGCATCCCTTCAGAAGCCAGTGCTCTTAGAATTGGTGGGGGTGACTTGGACATCCTTGCCTGTGGTTATGTTGTTAACCTACTGCTTTAAGAAGACTGTTTCCATTTCTTAGCCTCACTGCAGAAGGCTTTCTTAAGTTAATCGCCTGGAAATAGTGTCAAGTTTCTTGCTCAGAAAAAAAAAAAAAAAAAAAAAAAAAAAAGCAAAAGCTTCCTTTCAAGGGCCTGTCTTGTACAACCTGGGGCAGTAGCCACCAGGGGAGGTGTGGGGTTTTAACTGTGGGTCCTCTTTCAAGTATGTGCTGTTGGGGTCCTCAGAGGGAAAGAAAACTCCTTCCCTGAGTCCCCCCACCCCACCTTCTGTGGATAGTCACAGCTTGGATTCTACTTCACCCCAACTAAAGTGTCCGCACATGGTGCTGCTACCTACCTGTAATGTCAGCTCCTGGAAGGCAGAGGCAGGACAGGACGATCGCTGTCAGTTTGGGCCCAGCCAGGGCCTCACAGCAAAGACTTGTCTTCAAAAGCAAACCGGACTGAAAGCCTCAGACCAAAAGCCACAGAAGACAAAT